ACAGAAAACGTTTGACCTCTGTCATTGCCAACAAAGGGTAGATAACAAAGTATTGAGATGAACTTTTGTTATTGACCAAATACTTATTTTCCACCATAGTTTTCAAATAAATTCTTTAAAAATCAGACAATGTGATTTTCTGGATTTTTTTTCTTTTCATTTTGTCTCTCATAGTTGAGGTATACCTAGGATGAAAATTACAGCTCTCTCTCATCTTTTTTTAAGTGGGAGAACTTGCACAATTGGTGGCTGACTAAATACTTTTTTGCCCCACTGTATTAGCCATGTTAAATGAACCGCTGATAGTCTAGGCTGTGATAGGAAGGTGACCATTCAGAACATGTGACACATTGTTAATCCAGTAGTACAGACCGCTGTCAAGGACTTATTGACAGTTGTTAAGGAAGCTCACATCTGCAGAAAGAAGTCCGGTCGATTGAACTGTATACAGTTTGGCCGAAAAGCAAACTGCATGCTTGTCTTTAGTTTTCAGTTGTCTAATGTCTGAGTGCAACATGGAGGATTTTAATATTCATTTCAATATATTTGGAGAGCACAGTAATTTGGATGAATGGTTAGTGGCTGATGAGTCCCCAGCGAAGAAAAGAAAAAGAAAAAACAGCGTAGAAGTAACGGGGCAGAAACCCTGAACACGGAGCTGCGGTCCTTTTTACGCAACGGTCCAGACATAGACATCAAACGGCAAAACATATTCAGTTGCCAGTTCCTTTGGCATTAGGGCAGGGATATCTAGATACTCTCCAAGGTTTGACATAATGGATTGTGCTACTTTTAAAGCAAGCAACGATGGTTTCAAATCTGTAATAAAAAAGCTCCTCAAAAACGCTATCGAAGCAGTTCCTGCCGTTGCTACGTAGCTGGTTGAAGGACGTTCACTTGAACAAAAGTGGCAAAGTTTGAGTCTTCTTATGATTAGATCTCAGTGCTGCATTCAACACGTTCAACTAGACAGACTGGAAAACTTAGTTAGACTGTGGCACAGTGACCAAAACTAATGACACAGACTACTTTGTGTTGTTATTTTACTCTTGTAAATCCTTTATAATTGTGTTTTTTTGTATTCTTAATGCCTTTTATGTCTTATGTAAGCCATGAATTACTATTTGTTTAAAAAAGGTACAATGCAAATAAACCAGGATCAAGTTATCATTTAATAACACTAGGTTGATTGACAGCCTTATTGTTTGACTAAATTAATAGGAATTAAAAGCCTGTTTCCCTACTGTTAGTCAACGAATTAACCAAACTACAACACCCTTAAAAAACTAGAGCTTTATGATTAACGGCCCGTCCACACAGCGGCGTGCGTTGTAGCTTGCCGGCGGGCGTGTCTGAAACTCGACCAACAACCAATCACATGATTCTACTGCCCCTGACACACAAGCAGCAGTTTGATTGCCTAGAGCTTCTACTGGCATATGATTCGATTGGCTGACGCTTCTGCCGAGGCGTCAAAAGTTGAACATTGCTCAACTTTTACAGCGAGCCAGGCCAGCAAAGCTCTGCGTCGCTTCCCACAATGCAGTTCGGCGAAAAGTGACGTCACCCCATTCAAAGTGAATGGTGAAGCGTCAACGCACGCCGCTGTGTGGACGGGCCGTAACAGTGTTGCATAAAAAAACTAAAATAAACTTGTCACACGCACAAACAAAAGCACCGACCTGTAGGGATGAGCAGGGTGGTTCCTTGGGACACGACACACTTGTAACACTTGTCCACTTTGTCCCCAAAGAACACTTCGCTCTGATTGGGCGAGGAGCTCCATGCCTCGTATAGTGCAAGGTTGGCGGGGGTGGGCTTGATCAAGTAGAAGATCTTCTCACCCTGCAGAGCAGATGAATAGGAGTTAACAGTAGGCACCACACGTTAATGACACACTTTGATGTTGTTTGAGCATGGCGGCTGTGGTGATGGCGCTGTTAAATAACACCCACAGACAACTGGGAAAGCAAAGTCAGCTTTAGTTTATAGAACAGTGCCGATGAGATCATCATATGGCACAGCAGTGCTGCCCCCAGAGCAGCTTGATGATTCAAATGTGATGCGAGGAGTGGTAGTTTATTTGGCTTTTGTGGAATGTTTCATAAATGTTTGTCTGATTTCTACATACACTCAGGTGTCCTTCATGCAAACACTCACCCAGAGAACATGATACCAGACAGAGGTGCCTCCAAAGTCTATGTGGAAATCTGTGTAGCTGTCCTTGACTCCCATGAGGCAGTACTTCTGGACAAAGGGCTTGGGGAAGAAGGAGTCGTCGGGCCAGTAGTTCTCCACCCAGGACATCTTCTGAGCCACGTCGGGAACCTCCACCAACTCCGACATCCTGAGTAGATGGTTGGAGTTATAAGTGTCACAAAAGCAAACTGTTCTAAAACTGACAGGAGGGCTGTCTTAATATTCTGAGATACATTACAACAAGAGGATTTCTTCTTTTTGGGCTTCTACATCCAACCTCTACAGAAATTCATACAACATTTGAAAGGATTTGGCTTAAGACAGACTAGATCTGCACAATACATTAAAGTTTTATAATAGTGCAATTCGAAATCTCAGTAGGCGCAATATTTGGTAAAGGCTAAATTTGAACATAATTGAATGAAGTATCGCCGTGCTGCAGAGAAGTCCCAAACTACAAAGAATATTCTACAGAATTAACATCAAATCCCTCTTTAGGACAGACCCTCAATGTTCCATTATCGTGAACAAATATCACAATTGCAACATCAGTCAAATAATCAGAGCAAATTGTTGTGTTTGTTTAGATTTTATTAAATCGTGCAGCCCTAAGGTAGACAGCCCATCTATGGAGGCATGATGGATATTCTAGTATGATTTAATTCATGAATTATCCATGATTAAAATACGAGATATAAACCCATGGCTAATTTATACAAACATTTCCTGAAGAGGGACAGGAGGGATTGTACTGCCAGTGTTTATTATGGATATGTGCATACTTTTCTTTTTAACCTTTATATTGATGATCTGTCCAAGCGACTGAAAGCCTGTAATACTGGATGCATGATTGGTAGTAGTACTCTAGTGAACCATATTATGTATGCAGATGATCTTGTTGTGCTGAGTCCATCTAGCGCTGGTCTTCAGCAGCTCCTTACTGTTTGTTCTGTGTATGGTGTGGAACATGACATCAAATACAATGCCAGTAAGAGTGCTGTCATGATCTTTAGAACCAAAGAAGATAAATGTCCTGATTTTAAATTGTCTGATATTAATCTTAGTGTCTGTAATAAGTTAAAATATCTTGGACACTTTATTACAGAACAAATGACAGATGAAGATATTTATAGGCAATGCCGCATGATGTATGCACAAGCAAACATTCTCCGACGTAATTTTAGTGCATGTACAGATGGAGTGAAGATGTCTCTGTTCAGAGCATATTGTACACCACTCTATACTGCACATTTGTGGTCAAACTACAGAAAAGCAAGTTTACGGAAACTTCAAGTAGCTTATAATGATGCCATGAGAATATTGCTGAAGAGACCTCGATGGTCTAGTGCAAGTGAAATGTTTGTGGCTGCAGGAGTCTCTACAAGCTGTNAAAAGCAAGTTTACGGAAACTTCAAGTAGCTTATAATGATGCCATGAGAATATTGCTGAAGAGACCTCGATGGTCTAGTAGTGCGAGTGAAATGTTTGTGGCTGCAGGGGTCAATACTCTACAAGCTGTTTTAAGAAACCTTATCTATAAATGTATTTGCCAGCTTAATGACTCTGATAATGAAATCCTCTTGGCCTTATCGAACATAAGGTTTAGTACTACATGCTACCAATCGCAGCTGTGGAGACATTGGTATAGTTGTCTCTTTGTAGGACACTGATTTAAATTACTCTTAAACGATGAATTCTTTTTATGCTGTGTATGTAATTTATTATATGTAATGTCTTGTCTTTTATCTGGACCCTGAGTCTGTAATAAAGTTTTCATTCATTCATTCATACTGAAGCTCTTCATTAGCCAACATGTGAACAGATTTGAGCGTATCTTACTTGGTGTCAGAGAACTCCAGGCTGATGAGGTTGAGGACTTTGGGTCGACACGGGTTGGAGTAATACTTGATAAACTCACTGAGCTTCATCTTGCTGTCCGCCTGTCGTGCCACATCTATCACGTCGATGATTTTTTTGCTACCTAGATGGGGGAAATGTTCTGTTTAGTCCACTACGTATCAGATGGAGAAGTCCTGTAGACATTCAATATCTTCAACTTTTTTTAAATTGGCTGCCGAGTGGGCGTGGGGTTCACCGGGGTCAGCGGCCTGCTGGCATCTTCATGTGCTTTTAGAGATCGAGCCCTGAGGGAAACTGGCACCAATATGGCAGCGTGGGGAGGGGTTATACAGGAAGGCAAGCTAAACAATCTGTCCGGACCACCAGTCCCTGAGGAGGAGGAGGAGGAGGGGGAGTGGGTGGAGGTGAGAGGGCCTATGTATTCAATGCCTATGTGTGTGTGGAGATATTAAGTATTGAGAGGAACATGAGTATAGATGTTAGAAAGGCTTCATGTGGTGTGTTTACACGTATGAGACAGAAAACAGATGCTTCAACAACAAAAAAGGCTAACAGTTGGAACACTACAAATCACACTCGGGTGACACATTGGGGCCGGAAGTAGACCCGGGGAGCAGTGTGTGTAGCAAGACAGCTGGTTGTTGTATTTCCCCCTCACCCCTCCCACTCACCTTTTTTATTATCCCTTTGCATGTTCTCCCTGTCTTCACACACACACACACACACACACACACACACACACACACACACACACACACACACACACACACACACACACACACCTCTCTGAAAGCCCAGCTGGCCAGCGTCTGATGACAGAACAGCTGGAATAAAGGCAGTCAGCCACAAGGCGAGAGACAAAGCTGCCTGAAAACCTCACTACGTCTAGTTTGACACCAGCTTCACAAACCAAACAGCCACAGACAAAACAAAATCAACGCCCTTCCTGAACCAGCTTGAGCGACACTTGCTTTACCTGCTGCATCACAATGATATGTTATGATAGCCAGTAATGTTAAGGAGTCTTTCATTGATATAATGGTTCAAAAACATCCTACTCAACACGCCAGAACTACATATTCTTTTCTTAATTGAAATCAAATTTATATGTTTTTTGCAACAACCACAAAATAATCATTTGTATATCAATTACTCACCAAATGTGACCTTGAATTGTTAAGGAACACTTTTTCATGCATCCCTACAGGATGAACGACGAATTAAAAACACAGAATATTCCTGAGGAGAATAATTTTCTCAGTTTTTGAATTCTTCGTGAATAATTGATACACAGAGGGCAACTTTGTAGGTGAACGGTTACTTGAATACTTTATTTTTACAGCAACGTGGTCAAAAAGTATTCACTCGACATTGCAGTTTTTAAGCTCTACTATTAATATTGCATTGCACCATTTATTCTTCTTCTTTTTTTCTATGATCAACATTATTGTGTTATATCATGGCCCCATCTGTGACCTCCGAGCGTTACTGTGTAATTCCTCCCCACAGCGTTTCTTAAGCCAACCTTATGGGAATAGTCCAAAATATTGTTTCCTAAGCGTTATCCAGCAGCTACTTCAAAGGTGGTTTGACGATCCCACAGATGTGTACCGTCTGCATGGAAGGAGAGTATCTGCCCCCCCGGGGGTCAGACCAAACGCTTGAAGCCAGTGTTTCTATAGAGAGTCACTCTGATCTTATTCTTCCCTGGACGGACGTTAAGTCAGCTGCAGACTGTGGAAATTGGTTTTGCCTTGAGCTACATTTGATCTGTCCGGGCACAGTTTAGATTTATGTAGGATCACTGACAAGTTATACATCGTTGCTTTAATGCCTTTCATAAAGTAAGGTTTTGATTTGTCCTGCTAAAGTTTGCATAGTGAATATGAATTGACTGATTTGGGGTGTAACATACGGAGCACTGAGGTCACGGGTGGGGCTCTTTTACTTTGTCTAGTGCTGCATGTTACTGTATGTTTGGTTTCTGTTGTATTTTTACATTTCTATACATGCTTATTGGATTATTAAACGTTTTATAAAGGTTTTTCCAGGCAAATGAAACAGGACTATTTGCCAAAAACGTTCTTTAGGTTATTTGGTCAAGAGTACAGCTTTTTATATCTTATTTGAGAAACTAAATGTGGAGAAGGAGAAAGTAAGGTCAAGTAACAAAGGTCCAGTTTTGCTCTGCTGCCCACCCACATTTACTGAAATGTAACCCGTACTCATACCCTTTTTTGTGATAACACTTGCAAATTTATCCATGACAAGATTTTTCTGGGGCATTTCCTCAATGTTCCACCATTGTCCTAATCATTGACCACACACCATGTTGGCCACACGACCCTCGTGACACACAGAAGACATCAGCGATCACTCCAGTTGTCCCATTGTCTTTTAACTGTAAGAAACGTAACGCGACACTCAGTCCCTCGTCACAACACCTGTGCCTTGGCTTAATGCTCAATAGGGCATGGGGGAGAGAGATGAAGTGAGAAGGGGGAGTCTGTAATCTGAACTTAATGATAAAAACACCAGTGGGCTTGGTAATGGGCTTGTAATAGGAGCTGGGAAGTGGCAGGCCGCTTTCAACGAGGAAGCGTAGTGGTCATAGAGAGGCTAGTGAAAGCCTAGCCATCACTCATTTAGAACTCAGTCAGCCCTCGCCCGATGCCTGATAAGTGGGTTAAAACCCCATGAACCTAGAGACCTGTTCTTATTGACACACAGATGGCGCCTGCTCAGCGTTAGCCACTTAGCAGGCTGGTGTTGGGTGGTTTCATTAGCTTTTAAACAGACTGACGCTACGGTTTATTACATCATCCTTCCCCAAAACACTTGTGCATTAATGTAAGCTTCATACAGCTAAAGGCAACTCTTACACTGCAGAACAAAGCCATATGAAGTGTCCTTACCCACATACTGCTCCACATCTTTGACAGAGAAAGTAGGGGGTGGTAGTTTGAGTCCCAGGCCCTCCATCTCTGTGACTTTAATGGGGTAGCTGAAGCCGTGTCTCTCCAGGTAGCGGGTGGTCACCTGCTCGCCCTTCATCTGCATCATGATCTCCTCACCACTGAAACAACATCATAAGAAGTTCAGGAACATTCTACAAAGCTTCTAACAAAGCCTTAAAGTTATGTCCCAAAAGCCATAGTTGGGCGTCATTTGGAAAGTAATAGCAGCTTTGACCCAAACTTTTACAAAAGAGTTCTGCTGTAATATTGGTTTAAAACATGTGTCCGTCATCATACCTGGCAAAGGTCCTGGTCTGCAGCTCCTTGACGAACACTGGGGTGCCAGCCTGCACCGGCTTCAGCCCATCGTTTGGCTCTGTGTAGTCGTGCCTGTGGCAGTTGTTGCGCGTTTTCACTGCAACATAAAAAAGACAACCAAGGTTCATTGGGTTGTTTCGCTCTACTTTCATCATGTCATTGCCCTTCTGAGGCTTGTTCTCCTAACAAAGTGGCAAATTACGCACATCACCACCAAAGTGGGGGGCTTACAACACCATTTAATTAGTCTGTTAATGTCTGCCCCCTGGGCTCTTGGAGGTTCACCCTTCCCCCCAAAAAACATTTGCCAAGAGTTAACAGCGGCCCTTTCCCCCTGAGACCGGTCAAACATACAAAACACAGGCAGGAGGGGGACATCTGAATGGAGCGAGGGTTAGACATTTAACTCTAAGAAAGCGAACCAGAGAACAGTTTTGATGAATAAGATACGGGGACAGAGGGAAGCAGCAAGGTTGATATCCACTAATGAGAAATAGAAGTACTCACTCAGGGAGGGTCCGTGTTCCACATCACAGTTGGGACAGTGGTAAACATCAATGTCCACAGCATGATGCTCTTCTACCTGCACACAGCTGGAGATGGAGAGGAGATGCAGTTAGTAAAAGTTCTCACTTCTTACAACATGTGTAAACACAAGTTAGGGTCTATCCTTCATGCCTACCTCATTGGAGATATTGTTGTGACAGCATTGGGGTTTTACAATTGGGCTGCAGCAAACGATTATCATGAAACTCATGTTTAGATTATGTTCTAGATTGATGAAGTTTTTTTTGAAGACTTTATAAAGTATTTTGCAGTTTGCGCAATAATACTTTTCTTAGAGCCCTAGCATAGTGCATGGATTTGCAACAGTGTCTGCAATACTGAAACCCCCGACTGTCCTGCAGCAGCCAAACCACAGGCACCAACACACATGCATTCCTCTGCTGCATACCAGAGCTCCATTCCAGAGCAGCATGAACTCAACCAATTTCACCAATGGCTATTTTCAGTTTGAAAAAAACTGCAAGCTGCACGTTTGTTTGACTCGAACATGTGATAGTTCATTTGATGGTTTAGTGTTGTGAGAGAGAGGCCACACACAAAAGAGCCCTCTGTACTTAACAGGCCGTCCTTATGGTTGTCATTTTAAGGTGAATTCTGGGATCTGAAGGTAATGAATGATATCATAGTGCACGTCCCCACTTGACCTGGAAACAGCCAATTATGACACTCTTCCTGTGTCCATGTCTGCACGCAAACATCGTAACAATAGAAAGGACTGATACAAATCTGATAGGAAGCCAGAGGCAAATGCAATTATTTTGCTTCCACTGCTTTTTTTTATTTGGCTGATAAAGACATATGTTGCTAAGCAGCATTAGCACTGTGATGGATGACCCTAAAAAACATTATGCAACTATAACAAAACTACAAGCACACTTATTTCAAACTAACAAATTGCTGTTTTTTTTAACCCTCATTGAGACAGTGAAGCTTAGATTTGACAGCTTCTGTAGCGAAAAAGTGTATGAACTACATATTTATAGTTGACATATTGTCTTTTAGGAAAAGTGAGCGCCTGCAGGGGAAATGGAGCTGCAGCCTGTTATCAGCTTTGATCCAGAAACTGCAGGAAACTGTTAAGGAAATAAAGGCTAGGGCCATTAACTCCTCAGGAAGTGGTGAGCACGTGTGAATCCTGGCCCTGATCACCCTGGTGCACAAACAGGCTTAAACATAAACCTGGTGCAATTATAAAACCCTCTGCAAACTTTCTTTAGTTTCTGATGGAATATTGAATTTATGTCATCATTTTTTTTGACATCGCTATAAAAATGTATAAAAAGAGGAAACAGCAAAAACCTGGAAGTATTCTTGCTCCTGCACGTGAGCGAGTGGACATCCAACAATAACACTGCATTGCTTGGCTGTAGTTTTAAGCCGAGCTCATGTGTCAGGAATCTTGGTTCACATGTGGCCGTTCGCTGGGGGAAAGCATGAGTCACAGCACTCTGCCGCTGGCCCGGGATGCTTTAAACGTGTGAGAGCAGCGTGAACTTAACCGAGGTGACCTTGCTGTCCTCATCTCACTCGGTACTTTCCTTTATCTAATACCACAGCGGGGAAATCAGGGCACTGTGCCATACGCCAGCCTGACTCAGCCTATTTGTCACCTGTAATGATTAATACACAACAAGACAGTGAAGCTGGTGAAACTGTGTGGGCTCTAGATAGAGAAGGAACAAATGGGGGAAGTGAACTCAGCTGAAAAGGAAAGAGAGCAAAGTATTTCCTGCATTGCTCAGGCTTGATAATGTATTGCATCACCACTGCAAAGTGTGCCAACCCTTCTTGCACGAACATGAACCTTATTTGCTCTGAAAGAATCAGAGCCGTTATCAGATTAGAGAAAACCGAGTTTACGTCATCGTATTACTTAATAAGATAGTGTAATCATGTATTGTCTGACAATAACAGAGCATAATGTGATAGTTGACGCAGAGCACAGCCAATATGCCTCACAGATAAAACAAAACCCTGCCAGACTGGAGAGTTATTCTGTGACAGCATTGCAGCAGATTACCAAGCAAAACGTCCCTTCCTGAATAAGAGGAGATGTGTGTACTTGGCTTAAACCCCTGCCATCAACAGCCCCTCTCCCTCCACTTCCTCTCATCAAGGGCCTCCTTCCTGTGTGACTGAGAGGGCTTATTCATTAGTGCATGCACTGTGAGGGGTTCATTGTCCTCCATGATCAGTGCAGAAACACAAAAGGCAGAAGGCGGTCATCACCATTATTTTCAGCTCTAAATAACCGCTCTGCATGGGGCAGCGACACGCCTACATTAGGAAACGGGCAGATCCCTAATGGATGGGAGGTGGAGATAAAGATAGAGGAGATGAGGGCAGTTACACACACCTGGCTGTCTTTATTTACCCGACAGGAGCACCTGACTCTTCCGGCCCTAGTCCTAATGCAACCAAAGCTTACATAAACAGTGCTGCACTTGGACAGCGGTAAGAGCCACTCAGCCCTGACAGATGGAAAGGGATCTGTCATTTGGGCCTTACTGGTTCAATCATTTCAGCTAGCTATGCGTCATAGCGACCCAGCAGCGGTTACAGCTTGAAAGAGACCTCTCTGTAGTCTGCTGGTAAACAACAGAAGAGGATCACTTTGTTGTTTATGGGGCGTCAGGGAGTTTTAACAACTTCATTGTTTTTGGTGCAGCAGGTTGAGTAGCCTCAAGACTCCAAGCACTGGGGCTCTACTTTCACACATGCCTTCAACATGGTTATTTTAAAGCTCTCGGTGCCCCTGTAAAATCTACAAAGTCCTCAGTCTGTGGACCGTCTGCTGCTGAAAAACATCAAGCAACAAACTCAGGCTGAACTCACCTGAAGGTGGGTTGGTATGTGAATGCAATCCTCTCTCTATGCTCGTCAATAAGCATTTTTATATGATCAAAAACCTTGAGCTTGTTGTTTGAAACATAAGATCACCAATAAATAAACTTGAATTCTGAGCCATATTGTATATTAGAAGGAATGTACAGTTTTCTATGGATTTAGATTCAATAAGACACAGACACTGCTACTTTACTTCTATTGATCAAAGTGATATTTCTGAATCAAGATTTCTATTGTAAGGCACAACAACTTCAAGTCCTTTATCTATAACATCCTCATTGAATCTGACTGCTGATCAATACAAGAGGCTGTTGTCCCCTAATCAACATTGATCAAGCTGGAGGTAATGCGGTTTCCCCGCCCCCAGGGAGAGCTTTGCTAATGAATGTTAACACAGCTTTTAACAGTAGCTGTGAGGCTGCTATTAACTCATCAGAGATCTAAACAAATGATAAGAAACATTTTTGTTTCATGGACAACGTTGGTAAAAAATAAGATCCTTTGACTCATCCATGCATCCACTTAGGTAAACATAAAAAAAAAAAAAATGCACTCTGAAGTGGCTATCCATCTCTCTTTAGCGTGTTCACAATCTGTGCGACACTGACGGATCATGCATTGAACTTGGCTGGCTGGAGCGCCCATCAATCATTCCCTCTGTCCCATTGAGCCCCGCAGGTCCATCGCCACCTCCCCCCCGCCGCCCATACCTAACCAGACGGTCTGACTGGAGTGCCTGACACCTACGCCGGGGTAAACCCTTTGATCTGACGTAACCCAGTGAGGATTTCCAGTGGGCCAACACGCACAATGCTGACGTAAATTGGCATCTTGGAAACAGTCCATCTCGAGAAGCAGGTCTTGTAATTAGGGGAGGCTCTAAATGGTAAATAACAGGGTTCAAACTAACATTTGTAATCCAAACCACAGGCTCTAGTTGTTTGTTTTGGTGACTAAAGGAGTCCTCCAAGGAAGTGCTACCAAAGCAAATGTGGGCAGCAAAAAGATGTGGGGATAAAAGAAAAACCCACAAAATATTCCCTTTGCACCGTAGGTTTATTTTTGATACCGTATATCATTTTTTTTTTTAAATAGTGACTAGTTTTATTGCTTCTATTAATTGGACGATAAACAGAAAGATTATTCAGCAACCTTACAGCAAATATTTTTCATATAATGGTACCCTAAGTTAGATATACAGCTTTTTTTAAATGTTGGGGAGAGATCAACCCTCAATATTGGCAAATACTCAGAGAAGACTCAGTATTGAAAACACTTGGATTGTTGCATCATAACAGCAACAAATCTTGTTTGCAGATCCCTGAGGGGAAATATATCTATAACTATTGTAATACGAGCCTAGACTAAGGGGGGGCATGTGTGTCAATACAAGAGATGACATAGGAAAGCAATTAAGAGCATCTTGTCCGGACAAATATATGATCCTTTTACTTTCCAGTTCACCGCACTGATCACTACTCCGACAAAGATAAGCTCCACAGTGTTGTGATAACACTGCCCAACCGGTTATAGGACCAGGCTGTATTGTGTCCTGAGGTTGAGGTGGAAAACAGGACGCTCTCCAGAAACACAGGCAGTGAGACAAAGTCCCCCACAAACTGACAAACAGACACCGGGAGGTTGAGCGCCTCTCCACTTCATCGGCGTGCCATCATCCATAGCCAGAGAATATCCCTTTTCCTTCTGGCCAGCCTCGTGGGAAAGAGGCAGGAAATGTGGCTGGTTTTGGAGATCCGCTCCATGTGTGTGCGTCTATCTGCTTATTAGTCACCAATGGGGGAAGCTCCAGCATTTGTTCCTTTGCTTCCTGGCACATGACACGCAGCCAGCCAGTCTTTTTTGGCTCTGATACACCGCAAATTCTGGCCGGCAAGTTTTCTGGCAGTGGGCTCAATGTGGTTACGCAATGGCTTCCGTCATTTCAACACGAGCAAAAACAGATTATTGTATTCATAAGCAGTTTCCATGGAGATGCACCCACACAGGCTGATTCAAGAGACTGAGAATGGGGTATGTCTAAGTTAGCAAACCCCATTAAAACTGTTTTAAAGTCAGGTCTTTCTGATTACCTGACTCTAAAAACCAACATGTAATCAGACAACAAGTTTGATACGTGTTCTTCTATGGCAAAATCTTATTATCTGCCCTTCTCTAATGATTAGAGCAGACTGTGAGCTACAAAAACTGCCTGCCTTGCTAACAGACACACCAGCAGGCTTTATAGTGCTTCATAAAAAAGGGGTTAAACCAGGTCATTCAATTAAAAGTAAAACTAACTGGGTTACTTTGACACCCTTTAACAGTGTAGCCTTACTCAAAGTTTAAGGTCTGGACTATTAGAGCACACACTACTTAAAAAGGACATTATATTGTGCCATACAGCTTGGACAAAAAAAAAAAATACTTTATTGCACAACAGAAAAACCTTCCCATATGACAGCCAACACCCACCCACCCACATGCAACATGAATCATGAAAGTCAACTATAATACTACTGGTCCAATTGTAATTTGTAGAGATGTGGGGGCATTTAATAACGAAAATATAGGGTACAACCCGGCCATAAGCAATCCAAAGACATGTGTCTGCCTGGTACTTTTAAATAATCCCCCTTGTCACCACTAGGGGTCCCTGCCATGTGCCTGCTCTGCCTGAAAGGGGGATTTAAATGTCTCAAGCTGTCAATCAAAAGCCCGACCATAACAAGCTCCTTGTTCTCTATCTTTCGCTTTTTATTAAATAAAACCACCCAAAACACATCAAAATACAAAAAAACGTAATGTTATATACATCTTAAATAGAGTAAGTATAAAATTGAATGATAAAACATCAGGTTTAACAACAACATACAGATTATGTCCAAACAAATGGAAGTTGATTATGAAATGTAGCTTAAAGTCAAATACTGTCTATGGTTGTCAATATATTGAGTACGTTTAGCCAGTAGGCTGTGTGATATGGTACACAGCGATTGGTTTAACGATTTCTTAATCCGTAAATCACAGTTTGAACAATAATAAATGTATCTCTGAAGTGACTCCAAGGAGCTGGCGACCCTTTCTAAGCCACGGTGACCCCGCGAAGCTTTGACTGACACAGATATGCAATCCTCATGAGTCGCATATAGGCAGATAACAACTGTTTTATAAAGGCTTTATTTTAGTCAATAATGTTAACTATCAACATACTTACATAAACTACGTACACACTGTTTGAATGGGTAATAATTGGCAGAACATTTGACTGAATTCAAGCCAATTTCAGAGAGACAAACCCCAGTTTCTTTGGTAAAGTCGTGTCAATAGACGGTTTAAAACCCCCGTCGCCCACCGCTAGCATTATCAGCTAAGTTAGCTTCCAGTCAACACCGCTCAGAGAACCGTCGCCTTTCTTCAATAAACAATCAGTGTATATCACTTCCAATGAGCCACACATATCAAATACACTGTAGCCTACATACCTGCCGTGAAACCAGTCTTTACAGATGTCACACTCGATCATAAACCGGCTTACATCGTAGGGCTGCCGGCAGACACAGTACAGCGGGGCCGCCGCCATCTTCCTTCTGTCCCCAAACAACGCAGGAATGAAGTGGGGCGGGGATTTAACCCAGCGTCCGGAAACACCCGAATAGAGCCGAACGGACACGATCTCCTCCTAGGCAATCCCACCTCTGACGTCACTTTCCAAATTATTCTTTTTCATCTGGTTGTGTGTAGACACACGCCAACAATAGACACACACTTTTTCCAACAAAGGAATGACATAATGGTACTGTTTTGACCATGTTGTCACTTTTACAATCAGAGACTTATGTTCAGCAAAATCTCAGGATTTTCAGAAAGGAAAATGGTGAGCCTCATAGGCCTTAGTAGGTAAATTATATATGTTATAAGCCCACATAGTGTATCATTATTTCAATGAGATATATGTGATTTAAAATGTATACTTAAAAATACATTGAGAATCAGTGGATGTATTTATTTAACCATTACAACCCTTGAGGACCCAAAACTTGTTATCTTAAATTGTTGCTGATAATAAACATATGAATTTGCATTGAGGCACATTCATTTAAAGGTATATGTTTGTAAAGTATTAATTGAGCCATAAAAGCAATGTCAACATTTTAAGGAAACAAAAACCTTATATGTTGTTGGCAAAGTGTGCTGCCTCAGCACTGACTTATCAGGCAGGTGATGTGATTTTACGGGAAATAAATCATATATTTTTTTTAACAATCCAAAACTGCTATATCAGCAGAATATTTGCTAAGTGGCAGGGTTATCATTTTCATAACTATCTTAACAAAAGCAGGGGGAAAAAAAACATTTTTAACCAATACACTGCCAAATAGCATAACCAAAACACAATATCCACCCCTGGTATGTCTCCACGGAGCGTGTCTGACATGCCCTACGTGCTTGTGTGCTGAATAGCAATGGGACCACCGACCCACAGCTTGATCTGTGAGCTGACAGCACCCATCCCCCAAAACGCCCATCTGTGCTGCTCTGCATAGACAAGCAGGCCTGGTGCATGCAGACACTCACTGCACAGTACACTCATGTGATTCACACAGTTCATCTGCACATCTGAGTTGTTTCTTTGATGCATCCTCAGCCTGCAGCGAGGCATAAACATGTCCTTTGTCCTCATGGTGATAATAGCATGCTGAACCAGTTTGTCGTAGTCAAACATTATCGTCTTCACAAGGGTTTCTCTTTTCAGTGTGAGCAGCAACTTCATTTCTGGGGTGCAGTTCCAACATACGCCTGTAAATACTTCTCCTGGAAATCAATTATCCTTTATAAGTGGAGGACAGATGTTGTTAGTGTCACTGCAGATGAATGGCCAAAGACATAATGTGATTACTAACTGTAAACTGGCCAGTTTACTTCACCTAAAAACATTATCAGTGCTTTACTACGAGTCATATGTCATTACACTACTTGATTAATTTATCTGATACATTTCCAAAAATGTACTGTCTGTTTCTACAGGACAAAGACGAATACACATTACACTACAGTTTAAAATATTAACACAAGTCTGCTGTGTTGGCTTTGGGTTTCTCTGCAAACAAAGATACATATACATATCTAAAACAAACACTCCTCTTGTCTGACTTTATTCACTGACTATTCAGGTAGTTTCAAAGCTGGTGTGCTTACCTAAAAAAATACTGCATTACACAAACTGTTGTTGTATTTGCAAATAGTCCAAAAGCACAAGTGATATAAAACCATTGCTTTTCACAGAACCATTTTAACATATGCTTTAAATATCAGCGAGTAGAACAATTGAGATATAGAGAATGAAAAGTGAAAAGTGAGGAAACAATAACTATGCATTAAAGACAATGCAAAGTTAACCAATCCTCAAAAGTATTTTGATATTGAGTCTGTGCTAAATGCACTGGTGAAAGAAGTATTCAGAAGAAAAAGTACTAGAGTATGTGGTGTAAAGTAAATCAGTCCATTTACTCAAGTACTGTACTGAAGTACAATTTTGAGGTACTTTTACTTTATTAGCTGCACCTTTTCCAGCTTTGATAACAATTTAATGCAATAATTATAATCGAAACATATAATATATATTATTTTGAAATGGGCCAATCTGCAGAACTTTTGGTATATTTTGATGACAATACTTTGTACTTGTACTTCAGTAACATTTTGAATGCAGGACTTTTATTGTAACAGAGTATTCCCACACTCTTGCACTCAAGCAAGTAATTCTCCCGCCTCTGCAAGAGTATTAGCAATCCAAAAATATCGTATACTATATTGTATCATATTGTGTTAAATAATAGTATATTACAAGATAGGTAATTGTATTTCATTTTAACAGTTTATATTAACAAACTACTTCACATAGTTCTACAAAAAAGGGTATCGGATTCAGGTTTCAGTATCAAAGCGACATCTTGTGTTAGAACGGCGACATTGCTACCTGCGCGTTCACTGTGCACGGTGCGCGCACGCTTCGCACTCACCGACGTCCTATTTACCCAAACAAGGAAGACGCAGGTCCGCCCACCTGTCCGCGTGAGCGCAGACCGTGGATGTAACATTAGTCAGAGATCATTCATACAGCCGAAAATAACTGAATGATAATGGCTTCCAGGGATCCTGTGGTGCGATTTAACCTCTGAGTAGATGATTAAAGAGGTAAGAGTTATTATAAATGACTGTTATTGTGAAGCCTGTGCTGCTTTATTGTGACGGTAATATATTGACATGAAACATCTCTACTGTTAATACTGTTTTGCAGCATATGGATCTGAATATGGACTGTACAGAAACCTAATATTTGTATCCATTTGTATCTATCTTTTTGCTTTAGTAGTACAGTGCTTATATACAGATGTAAAGTGTATTAATACGCTCTGTAGGGACATTTTAAACATTGTTTAATAATAAATCAGAATGGCTACTAAAGAACAGTGTGTTTCAATGTCTTCATCTGTACAAGCATTGGTGTTACCGAATAATTCAAATGTAGAAAGAACATACATGGTTGAATTTGCATGACTTAATAACATGTTAATTGTATCATCATTCAAACCTTTATAAAGCTAGAGGTTGCAGACAGGGCTCCTGAATGTAACACTGATGTTATGATGCAGGAGGTGGAGAGCATCCCTGAACCTGAAGATGAGGCGTCTGTCTCGGAGGAAAGCCCTGACCCTGGTGAGAGAGCTGGACGCCTTCCCAAAGGTGTCAGAAAGCCACGTGGAGACCTCAGCCTCTGGAGGAACAGGTGGACACTCCTCTGAAAACAGAAAGACAACAACACCATACAGACATTATTAACAGTAACCCTCTTCGTCTCACCCACAGTGTCGCTGATTGCTTTCGGTGCCATGGCTCTTCTGGCTGTCTTGGAGTTCTTTGTTTATAGAGACACTTGGATGAAGTATGAATATGAAGTTGATAAGGATTATTCCAGGTAAGCTTACTTCCAGAGCTGTGAAATGATCACATGAAAAAGTCCCCAAACAAACATGCTAAACAGTAGATGACAAATATTATTCCCCCTCTTCTTTTTCATCATTCGCAGTAAATTGAGAATAAACATCGACATCACAGCTGCCATGAAATGCCAGCGTGAGTATCCCATCCTCTTTATCATAAAATGTATGGTGAAAATATGTCACATCATGCATGCATTTGATGACCGTGATTGCAGATGTTGGAGCAGATATTCTGGACCTGGCTGAGACCATGATCACATCCAACGGCCTTCAGTACGAGCCTGTGAGTGAAGCATGTCTCCAAACCTGAGGTCAAGTTTAATTCTGTGTTTGTTCTTTTTGTAGAAGCATTATTAAGATTTGGCTTTTCCAAAGTGTATTCTTTGTGTTTGTTCAGGTTATTTTTGATCTGACTCCACAACAGAGAATGTGGCAAAGGTAAGCTGTCATGACATCAGACAGGGAAATACTGGGAGAACAGGAAGTGTTATAAAAGTCTTGTTGTGTCTGAAAACAATACATTGATTTAATTTTCAGTTATTTTAAACGTGTATTCAAGGTGATACATTTGCATGCATACTGAAAAAGAAAGAAGAACATGTTTTTAAAGCTTTCTAGAAAAACTGGAATAGTTATCTACAGTTCAGATCTAGTTTAAGTGTAGTTTGAGTTTTCAGTCCGACAGTGTACACGTTGCCACTCTTGTGTTTGTCCTCAGGACGCTGCTTCTCATACAGAACAGGCTGAGAGAGGAACATGCTCTTCAGGAAGTCCTTTACAAAAGTCTCCTCAAAGGCGGTCCTACTGCCCTGCCCCCCAGGTCAGTCACATGCAAACAAGCTCTTTTTTGTTTTATACTATATGCAAATATTGTGCAGCCTGTTAGGTGTGTTGCTGATAAGCAATTAAAGGTATTCTAAAAGTGTTTAACAATTCTTAGACCTAGGGACATACATGACATTGGTCCCTTTTGCTCCAAACTCCCATGATCCCACACTACATCACAACGTCATCTGGTGCGTTTAAGTGTCAAATTATGTTCTGAATAATTGTGTGTTTTTGCTACAGGGAGTATGCCTCTATAGAGCCGTTGAATGCTTGTAGGGTACACGGGCATGTCTACGTCAACAAGGTGGCAGGAAACCTACACGTAACTGTCGGAAAGTAAGAAACTACAGAACGGTCATTCGTTTCTTACCATGATCCAGCTGTAGAATTTGCTGGGCTATGAAAAACAGGCATATATATTATGCTATATTTGAAAGCTTTTGTTGACACATCACCTTTAATACTAATTTGTGTTTTTCAGGCCCATTCACCATCCACAGGGTCATGCCCACATTGCTGCTTTTGTCAGCCATGATAGTGAGTAACTCTTTCTAATTATGCTTGCATATGTTTTCTTTACATTTTCTTAACAGTGCAATTGTTTTAGTAACCTACTCTTGGTGCAAACTACATTTGAAAGTAGAGATGACACACAGGGCATTTAATTTGAAAGAATATGCAAGCAAATGTTACCTTCATTGATACCAGTCTATGATTGATACTAATAAATGGTGCATTTTTAGATGTTATTATTATTCAGAATTGTATTGAACGATTTGTAGACAAACAGCAACTATATCCAGTGCAGAGTACATTATTTCCAGGTTGAAATGGAGCTTCTTTTTTGTGATTCTCACCTTGATTGAACCTGAGCTTCCTCTCGTCTTTGCATTACAGCGTACAACTTCTCCCATCGGATTGACCATTTATCTTTCGGGGAGGAGATACCGGGCATCATCAATCCTCTGGACGGCACAGAGAAAATCACCAATAACCGTAAGTTACTGTTATGTACCAAGAGGTAGGAAAGGATAAAACATTTGATGGCGTTTCCTGCAAAATTAATGACACGTTGAGACATTAATCTGATCATGAGTTAACTCAAATGGTCCTTTGCTCACCTTGGTGGATCACTGCTTAGTAGAGATTATTGGAAAGAGGTTGCCTTTGTTGTAAGCACTTTGATCAGATAATTAAGTTTCATTATGAGTCTCTTTAACTAACCTTTTTTTACCTCTTGAAATTGATAGAAAAATGTTAAATATTGAGGTTTTTTCATGCATTATTTCTGGTGGCGTGTTTCCTGCAGATAACCAGATGTTCCAGTATTTCATCACAGTGGTTCCAACCAGACTGAACACATACAAGATATCTGCAGACACACACCAGTACTCTGTGACTGAGCGGGTGGGTGAAGAGTCATTAAAGCCCATTACAAAGAAGCATATTGAACAGAGGATGAAGAAACGAAGGGAAACTTAGGATACCACTAACCATCATGCCATCTGTTTCCAAGGAGCGGGTGATAAACCACGCAGCGGGCAGTCACGGTGTCTCCGGCATCTTCATCAAGTACGACACCAGCTCTCTGATGGTGACGGTCAGCGAGCAGCACATGCCTCTCTGGCAGTTCCTGGTGCGTCTGTGCGGCATAATCGGGGGTATTTTCTCCACCACAGGCAAGTCTGTTTAACTGCAATCACATTTATTTATCATCTTGTCATCAATTTCTCCTGTTTCTATGACTTAAGAGCGAGTGAAAAAAGGTTTTGCAAAGAATTCTTTTTCTGAATGACCTTTTATTTGTTTTTATAAATCTATGAAAACAGGGTTCTATTTGTCAGGGTCATTTAGTTTGTTATTGTAATACTAATTTAAGCCACAAGAGGCTGAAGTAAACCACATGTGATAAATAGGACTAACAGCATTCATATTTTCTTTCAGGTGGGTTTACAAGTGCATATATTATCAGTTAGAAAATGTATGTTTTATTACAGTCATGTCAAAAGGATCCTGATCAAAACTAAGATCTTCAACTTCCAAAACCTTTTTTACCTGTTTTCAGATGATAAAAACATATTTTAGAAACATCCTGCAAGAAACTTTTTTCTCATGTAAATCATAAGCCTCTTAGAGCTTATGTAGAGCAACAATGTCACATTGAGCTTTTAAATTCAAAGTAAAACAGCTGCATATAGAAAATCATTTATGACCTAAAACGTGTCCGAATCGATCTATTTATCGTTGTGTGTTCCTCTCTCCTAAAGGCATGCTTCATGGGCTTGTTGGCCTCTTTTTTGACGTTATTTGCTGTCGGCTCAAACTTGGAGTCTACAGAAGAGAGGTGAGTCTTTAATACAAAATACATGTTGCAACATAAACAGGCTATCTTCATTACTGATAGACTTACCTGTACTGAAACTTATTCTAGGAGGTGCAGCTACACAACGAGATGAACAATCTTAACAATCACCAGACTCCTTTGTTGGCTGAAGCAGTCCCCCAGGAGTAACCGTTTCTCTGTGAGCAGGCTTTTGGCCATTGTTAAATAACGTCATCAATGTCATATAATTGTGTTTTCTACAAAACAGTCTAAATGATCTGTGCTGTTGACTGACAAATTGTAAAGTTTACATAAGATAATTGCACTTTAGGAAAATGTGTTTCCCTTGAATGCATGAGTCATACTTGTGTTTCTTTTAAAAACTGTGATGGGTTTGTTTCGCAAAGTTTTAGACTTTCTGTCCATGTGTTGTAATCTGATTGTTTGGCTGCCATTCAGTCCATTAAAGTTTACATATTTACAAAAGAATGAGGTTTGGTCCCTAAGTGTTGTTTTGTGAAAAACATTTAAGTCTTGTGTTAAAGTCATTTCAGAATAAAGGTGATCAAATATTTTTCAAAGGACATCAGCATGCAGTTAACAATTGAGTTATGTATTTCTGTTGTTTGTTCCATACAGTTAAAGAGCTCTGCATTTGCAAAGCACATTGTTTTGTAAAACACACATACAGGAGAGCAACACAACCCTTAAAACAACATTGTAAGAATTGTTATGATACCACTGAAATGACTGCAGACATTCTGGGTGATTATCTCCGTCTAAATTTCAGAGTACAGTTACCATGAATACACCACAGACATGGGCTTTGCATAAACATTTATTAAGTTGTGTCCCTTTTTCTCCCATTTAGGCTCGTAACTGTTATGCATTTGTATTCAGTCAAGAGTCAAGCCACATACAAAACAACACAGTTTTCTCATGTTTAGTAAAACACGGACTGGCCTGTCACATTTAACACTTTTGGTAGACTCTGTAGGAAGCTCTGTGGTGGAATCCTGTGAAGACTCTCACCAAGCAAAGATCAACAGTCACATAAAATGTTTGGTAGTTTAAAAGAATAAAATGAACTTCAACTATTTACAGGTTTTCCAAACTTGGGTCATTGATTCAACACCATGAGGGATTTTAAATCCTTTGTTTATAACCTAGTACTTTTGTGATTTAGGTCCAGACTAACAAATAGGTCACAATTTGTCTTGCTTAAAATAGTAGTCCACATCAGGGTAGGTATGGCGTACCTCAAGGCTCCATATTTAGTCCACTACTTTTCACTTCTTCTGTTCGTCAGAATGTTCAGCATGAATTCTAACTCTTATGCAGATGACACTTAACTCTGTATTGCAAGAACTCGTAATAATGCTTCCATTCTCTGTCCTGTTCACTAGCTGTCCAAAAGCAGAACATATCTTGCTTTTCTTACTCAAATAAAGTTGCTGCAGTAGGTGTTTAAAGCAGCAGTTTTCTAAAAGTACGATCTTTGATATATTTAACAGACCTAATTACCTTTTCAGTAACAAGAGGCGTGCCTCAAGAAATAAATCTTCAGTCAAAAGTTTCTTTATTTTAACGTTGCATATACGTTTTGTTTGGCTGTTACCTAAGGTACAACTCCAGCTTGTGCCTCATGTAAAAGCATCACAGATCAGGACATTTCTCTAATAAATAAATACCCTGCAATTTCTTTTTTTATAAAACCCTGTTTTTCAACAGCTCTGTAATTAGTTGAAAGAGAAATAAACGCTGTGACTCAATTGAAAAGCTAATTTACAGGCGGCACAACTTGGGGTTAGGTCTCCATTTTCATCAAATGAACCCACTCTCTACTCCGCTAAGTTGCCTGCTCTAAGCTTGGTCCTCTAACCCACAATCTCGGACATGTAAATCACTGATATTGTACTGGACCCATTCCTTGGACTTCTTCATTTTGGTTCTTTTATATCACCATTATGCCTTTCAGAATTTTATTTGGAATTTCCAACTACTATAACTTAACTTTAATTCAAATGTTTTTCCACCTGTACAGAGCTAAACAAATAAACTCAACTCTGATGTACTCTTATTTATATATATTACACTGCCAAGGTCTACCACATATATCAAACTTTGACTCAAGTATAAAGATGTAAAAGTAGTAAACTTAGTTTCAGTACAAACTGCTGTACAAACAGATGAGCATTCAAACAAACATGGTTTATGTTCAAAGACATATGAACATTCTCTTTGTGATAGTAAATAATGGAGACAGATATATATTTTTTGGTTTATTTAATGATACTGTTGTCTTGAACTGTATAGTTGGAATTTAGATGTAATATTTGTCTCAGTTTAGAGACTTGAGATAGATAACCAGTTAGTTTTTAAGGTGTAATCTTAGAAAGGCAGTAGATACACATAATGTAAGATAGAGATCAAAATCACTTGCGTAGTAAAGAGAGGAATTGGATTTCCCCACAGTTAAACTGCAGAGAACCAAAAAAATCTTAGAGAAATCCAGTGAAGCTCTGCCATATATCAAGTATGAAAACATAATAATAAGGCAAGGCAATGAAGCTAGATTCAAGTGGATGGAAACAACGATGTGGAAAAGAAAATGGACGGCACACAAAAGGCTTATTGTTGCATATATAATTGGCGTTCACGTTGAGAAGGAAACTGTAGCAACAAGATGAATACTTTTTTGGACGGATTCTGGTGAGTGAACGGTGCAGGTACTGATGATAGATTTCCGAACGAGACAAATTATTCATGGCTCTTTTCTCTCCTTAGAGTGCTTCATACGACTGCAGCCTCCCACCTGTAGAGAGCCCCCAGCTGATCCACACACAAAGGAGGATTCAGACTCAGAGTGTCCTTGACGGACGGTCAGAGTCTCAGATGTTGCATCCTGCTGACAGCTAAAGGCCAGGGCGGCCGTCTCTGCCTTGAAGAGGTGAGGAACACTCACTTGGTTATGGTGCTGGATGCGCGGAAGTAAGACAGGAACTTGAAACAGAGGCTGACCACAAAGTACCAGATGTTTCTGGCCATCTGGGAGCGGGCGATAAAAACTCTCCAGATGAAAACCACCAATAGGGTGTTGAAGGTGTAGCGGATGTTCCTCAGTCTGGGAAAGAGAGAGGAAAAATTTTGATGAAAAATGTCTAGATCTTATATTTATTTTGTTTCTGATGTTAGTGGCACACTTGTTATAACAGGCTTCTTGTCCTGTTTTATTTCTGTTGCATTGTCTTGTTGACTTACTTCTTCAGATGCTGCCTGGCAGCAGGAATGTCAGACATGTCTTCATTCAGGACGTACTTCTTGGTGCCGATGCAGTAATTCTCAATGTACTCAGGCCAGTTCAGCTGGCGCACATCAAAGTTAAATGTCTGCAAGATAGAATAGAAGTTTAAGAAGTCCAGAGACAAAGGCAAGACCAAAGATACTGTGTCATTTGTAATTGAACATTAAAATGAAATCCCACTATCCCTCACTAGATGGAGCAATTGACCCAATAATACCATTCAAATAAGAGCAGATGGAATATTCCCTAAATGCCTTTTTCTCTTAATCATAATAGGGTTAAATAAATCATGCATACATCTATTTATAGGGGGCAAGAACGTAATTTACTTAAAAGTAGCAATACCACACTATACAAATAGGTAAATAAAAGTTTAGCATTATCACTAAAAAAGTCTCATAAGTAAAACTTCTCTTTTGGACAATGGCCCAGAATTCTGTTTAGTTAAATCTATGTTATTCAATTCTTATGACTGAGGCATTAACCTATATGATATACACAATGTTGTATTGTGCCATTGTGGAGCCAGGTTTAACTACTTTATGTACACCTAGGTAGTTCTATCTATAGCAAGTATTCACGCTCTGCCTGGATACCTTCATTTGCAAAATAACTAGAAATGTAATACATACCATAAGTACCATAATACCCTCTGAAATATGGTCAAATATAAGTTTGGTAACTAATTTCCTTTTACTGTATCTATTTCACTAAGTTGTAACCTGTATTCAATGAGTAGGAGGAGTTTAATAACAACTTCAGATGGCGTCGGATGAAGCAAATATACATATTCAGACTGGATCAAGCAATCTGGTTCCTCAATAAGCTCAGGAGGTCAATATTTGGCTCAAAGTGGCAGTGTGTTTGTGGATAAGCGTACCCTCCTGTCCTCTGGGGTGAGCTGGCCCATCAGCATGCTCATGTTCTCCGAGTTCCACTCCCAGTCCTGACTGCTGAAGTACTCCAGCAGGCCGATGGCTTTGTGCAGACGGTTGAAGATGCGCATCATCCTGAATCATGAGAAGGGGTAAAATGTCACTGCACACTTGAACTTCTCTTTAGATTTCAAGTATGACAGATTGTGGCGAGTCTTACTGCGGCTTCTGTCCAGAGAGACGCAGCACAAAGTCGTAGATGAGGGCGGGGAACTTGTGGCTGACCAGGATCCAGTACTGGTTCATCAGGTAGTTGGAGGTGATGTTGGCGTTGGGCCGGCGGAAAGCCTGCTCCAGAGGGTTCCTCTTGAAGGACGACATCACGTGGTGCTCTGCAGAAGGTGAATTATTCAAATAAAAATACAGTAATCTTTTGTACCATAAAAAAATACTTTTCACCTATTTCTTTAAAATCCAACTTTTTCTTAGTTTTTGTTCAATCTGAATGGCCAGGAAATATCCAAATAATCCAATACCGGACATGAACAATACATTGTGAAAGTTTTGCATGGGGGTATGTGATTCCTGTCATCCATATTTGTTTGGATTAGGAAATAAAAGTTGCAATAATATTGTGCAGTTGTTAAAATGTGTTTTTATCCAGATATTTATGGCTTTTGTTTTAGCTTGAACGTAATGGTAATATTTGAGGCGCAACAACTAGGGCGAGCAGTGATCTTGGATCTCATGATGTAATGAAGAGAAAAAAACTCTGAATTGTCCAGGTTATCAACATCCACTGACCAGGAGCAAAGAGATGGGAAAATGCACAAATTGCAGTTTCTACACAGGGATCACGACTTCCAGGAACCATGGTTTTAATCATAACATGATTTCCAGCTCTGGATCTAGGGGGAATTTCAGCAGCCTTACAATGACTTCCACCCACCGGCATTAACCCCCCCCCCCCTCATCCACCTCCTCCCAGAATCCAGCAGCAGCCATCAACAGAAACAGAAAGCAGCCATGTGACTTCAGACATTACATCACACACGGCACGCAAACTAGGCCTTGCACCGCTCGTTTCCATGGCAACAGATATGTAGTGGTTGCAGGGGCAGAGATGACCGTATCCGAGGTGACAGCCAGCTGTGGCCCGGCCCCTCGCCGCTAACGTTCAGCCACCCTCCAAGGTCTGGGAGAGTCACCACACAAAAAAGGGCTAAAATTCCCACAATTCTCTGCAACAGGGAGCTACATCCTCCTTTATCCGTCACAACACTCGTCATTTTAGATTAGCTTCATTTCTGATTCTCATTTTGGCCGGTGGGATTATAGTTAACGTTTTTCTCTTTCATAACAGTGAGTTGCAGTGATGAGACCCAATCCTGCTACGAGCCATCTGGGAGCAATTTCCTCGGTGGAGCGAGCATGTTTGCTAATCTGAGAGGAAATGGGAAAGAGAGTCTGTTGTCATCGCGCCAGCCTGACATCCACAGCCCTCTAATCCTACTGTATCTGCTGAGCAAGTGTTTATTTTTCTGTACACAGGAAACACAGTTGTATGTGCTTAAATATATGTTTTATGTTGTGTTTTTCATGAATTGGGTTAATTTCATAATAGTTCATAATAGTAGTTTATAATTGTATTGTAGTATTTGTAATATGTAGTGTCCTAACAATCCATGTCTGGGAAATTCAGTCAGATAAAACGATTTTCGTATTCATTACATATTGAACAAGTCCATGTGTCTACAGTCATAGACACTTTTCTTATGCAAGTATAATGTAATTTTTATGCAAGCTAGTATTATTTCGCCAATTTCAATAGTAAAGTAGAGCTAAAATTAGCATTTGGTGGTGAACGATTTGTAGACCAACAGCTGACAAAAGTAAAGCACTGGTTGCAGCAAAAAAAAAGTGAAGTTGATATGAACCAAAACAGGTTCCTACCAATATGATGTTCCAAACATTGTTTCATGGCCAAATCTTTGCTTTTCAAAAATGCCTTTTACATTTTTGGGAAACAATTGAGCTCATTAAATGAAATTGCAAACCAGTTTTTCTCATAGCTTTCAAGAAAAGCTAATATATTGAGCACCTGCTTATATAAGAAAGGAAAACCCCTCTTTAATGTCCCACTGACCCATCTTATATGTGTTTCCAGCAGGGGGCAGACCCTCTCCACAGGAGCCCTGACTACAAACTACAGGACTTAACCACTTCTCAGGGCAGTTAAGTCACAAAGTATTGATTGGAGATGATGATGAATGGGACAACAATATTATGGGATGCCAGCAGGCTCAGACAAAACAGCTCTATAAAGACCCGCCTGCAGTAACAGGTCTGTACTTCCTTTAAGAAAGACAATCTTATTGTACGTACCAATCTGTCCCCAGTGGAACGGGTTGATGCCGCCGGTGGTGCAGTTGTACACCAGAGCTGATTTAGGTCTGCAAAGTGGGAGAGAGGAAGGTCATAAAGAAGCCAATAAAACACATATTAAACTGTATTTCCTTCACTAAACAAGTAGTAAGCTATGATACTATGTTGCTTTATAGGTGCCTTCAATTACAGTTAAGTATTGAGTATATTACACAACACATGCAGAGCTGTGCCAAAAAGATACTGAATAAACATGTAGGCTGAGGGAAAGCTAGATTCATCTTTTCACATCATTTCCAATTCAGAGTAAATACTTAACTTTCATCTTTCTGTTTTTCTGTTTTCCTTCTGAAAATAAGTACAGGTGGTCAGGAACATGAACACTGGTATAATCACATCACAGGCAGTAATGTTGATGCATTATGATATATGTTTTCTTTCATGAAATACTTTTGTTTGAATGTAATTTAGGCATCCAGATGTTTTCAGTATCACTGTAGCTATTATTTATCCTCCCCCACATCCCCCTAAAACCTTTAAACTGATCCTATTGAAATACAAATCGTTCTTTCCTTTCCATCAACTTTCTAATTATTTTCCCATCTCTGTCTAGTTAGCTAAATAATAGTTAGGAGCTTTAGCTGATTACTTCCTAAATATTCCCCCCATCCCACCTAATCATTTATTAATATCAACCAAAATCAGTTTTTTTGTTCCAAATATGTCTGTTGTAGCCTGGAGGCAACCCAATTCCTCATCATGTGTTGGTGCTGCAGTACACGCTGTAGTAAAGATAGCTAGTATGAGATTTTACACAGTTTGAACTCTTGGACTCTCACCACTACATTTCTTTAAAACTTTTCACTTCATTTGATTGTTTCCAACTTAATAAAGATGTTACTTTAGGTGTAATGGCTTTCAAACCTAACCATTGTAGAGAACAGTGACAGCAGGATAATACAGGCTCACAACTCTTCTACCAGTACATTTTCGCTTTTATCCCTGTCATTTTACTGTGGCCATGATGGAACTAATAATCAAAAAGTATGTCACATTCTGATAAATAAGCTTTATGTATGCACATCCCATTTTTCATATAACACACATTTAACACAACACATATATTATGTACATCATAAAATAAAATTAAAGACCGCTATCAGGTTACCTATTCTATATATAAATATGTGCATGCATATGTCAGCAGTATAGTAAACAATAACTATCTGCCGCTATCCGTTGTTGTCTGGGTTATTGTTTTTGTTTATATACAGTATATACGTATATTGTGAACATGTATAGTGCTGTTAAAACCAATTTCCCCCTGGGGACAACACATCTAATCTAATCTAATCTAGCAGGAGTTTGCTAGATGTAACCAACTGACCTTTCTGTAGTACCACAATATTTTATTTAGAAATGTTTACATATTTTGGCAAATATTGCGCCTCATGATATTTGGGATATTGCACTAGTCCATATTGCGATTTTGATAACATTGCAATTAAAAAAGCAGCCCTGTAATTTAGTAATAAGCCTGTTGGACCTAGAAATGGTGAATCTGTCCTTTAATATGAGGACCATAGCGTGTCAGATGATAGCACTAACCTGTGCACAGCGGTGTACCAGCCCGCAGCCAGTGTGAGGTTAATGACCATGTCCACGGGGACCAGGTCAGCCACCGCGTCGTTGTTAGCTCTCATGGTGCGCAGGATCCCCTTTCCAGCCTGATTAAAGAACAGCACTTAGTCACAGAGCTCCAAAACATGTCTGTGTGTTTAAGCTTTGAGATTTAAGGGTAAAGTTTTTACTTACGGCTATAAAGACTCCACTCGGCCCGTTGAAGTTGTCAATCCAACCCTGAGGTGTAAAGCAGAGAAACGTGTTAATGGGATGAAACAGAGCTTTGTCAGTCAGGTTCATTATGTTACTAATGCTAGCTAACTAAGGCTAGGCGATAATTAAATGTGATGATTTATAGTCTTTCAATTGAATTATATTGTGGAGATTGATAATACCAAGCATTTAATAACTCAATATTTTTTAATGCTTTTCGGGAAGTTTTAGCAATCACGTACAATGTCCTTAAGAACATTAAAGCATGGAAACATATCACAGTAGAGGCAGAAAATACAAATTGAACCTGGAAATGAGCAGAATAGGGCCCCTTTAACTGGACTAACTGGCAAGCATCTCCCACCATCAGCCCAGAATGCAATTGTCTATACATAATCAGGACACCAGGACACTCAGCTCAGGACATAATTAATGGCGTAAGATAATGAGTTAAGGTCAAAATGGGACCAAATGTTGGTTATAGTTCAAATAATCTATTGAATTACAGAGAAACAAGCCATACAATGATCCAAAGTGACATATAATGGGATTAAGGATTTTGCTCTAACAGCATCACACATGTGGGTAAATACGTGTTCATGTGTGCTGTATCCACTGATAGGGTTATGTTGTACTATGTATGTATGTACTTTCTGCTGTGGGAGAACATGGGACGCCGTTATTGTCGAATTCAATTAGAGTGCATTAAAAATGGATGAAACCACTGGTTACAGAGGGCTGGTGAGGCATTGTGTGTGTGTGTGTGTGTGTGTGTGTGTGTGTGGG